CCCAGGGATCCCCCTAAAAGGTTCATTTGAGAGAGTACACACAAGCTGGGGAGTAAGGGCAGAGGGAGAGAATATTCAAGCACTTTCTGCCCTTTAATCTGCAACTAGTGAGATCATGACCAGACCCAAGAGCTGGACGCCCACCCCACTCAGTACCCAGGTTCCCCAGCCAAGGAATATTCTTGAGTATGTGCTTACAAAATAGGCAAAACTAGTTGCTGTACATGACCGACTGGGTCAGCCTTCCTATTGGCATTTGGAGGTTAGAGCGAGTGACCTGCCCACCAAGACAGGGCAACGTCGGAGGCCTTCTTGGAGAGTCATGGGTCAAGTTAGCCATTACAGACGTTGTGGGCAGAAGCCTGGCTTGACTGCCCCAGCAATCTTCAAGAAACTTGAGGTCATTTGCTAGGCTGCAGGGGGGTTTACTGTGTGGTGGTAGTTGGCAAGGTGTTCTGAGATTTGGGAACAGTGACGGTGTGTGAGTACGTTAGAGAGTGCTGAGTGTGAGGCTGGGTCACTGGTAAGGATGTTCTGCTTGATAGGGTCTTGAGGTGCTGGGAGTGTATGGTGCACTTCCCCAGGGTGTCTGGTCTTCCCGACAGGTGTGGTCGCTGGAGGTGGCCGCATTGACAAGCCCATTCTGAAGGCTGGCCGTGCTTACCACAAGTACAAGGCAAAGAGGAATTGCTGGCCACGTGTGCGGGGTGTGGCCATGAATGTAAGTAGCCCAGAGATGGGCGGTTGGGGCATTCAGGGATTGGGGGTGGGAGGCTAGCTGGACGGGTCCTTTCCTACAGTGTCTCTCCTGTGATAGAGGGTCTGTAGCATGAGGCTCTAAGTTACGGTTTAATGGCACAGGTCAGTCGATCTGCTCTTAATTCAGGTTCTGAGGTAGGTGAAGTCCACACCCCGATATTAATGCCTGCCGTTCTTCCTCTGCAGCCTGTGGAGCATCCTTTTGGAGGTGGCAACCACCAGCACATCGGCAAGCCCTCTACTATCCGCAGAGATGCCCCTGCTGGCCGCAAAGTGGGTCTTATTGCTGCCCGCCGGACTGGGCGTCTCCGGGGAACCAAGACTGTGCAGGAGAAGGAGAACTAGGCTTGAGGGGCTCAATAAAGTGTGTCCTTCTGCCACCAAGTTGTGCTTGCCTGTGGTTTCGGAGGGAAGGGCCCTTGCTTGGAGGACTGCCATGGAGCTTTTGATGTAGGAAGGAGGAAGATGAAGTTGGATGCACCAGGAAATTGTGACAGCTCTGGAGAGAAGAGGTGGGGGTGCTACTGGGACACCCCCTCCCGTCCACCAGCTGCTCTGGGAGTTGAGGATCCCACTCATGTGCATTAACTTCTCTTGAGAACTTGGGGAATCTGGGTGAGGGGGTTGACACTTAGGGGTGAGAGCAGTACTCCCAAAGCCACAGGTTGGAGAGCCAGGAAGCCCTCCTGCAGTGGGAGAATCAGGATGGAGTCAAGACTAGTTTCTCAGACCCAATGGGCTTCCTGAGCCACCCCTGGTACCTGGTCCTAAACTTGGGTAGATGATGTGGAGTCAACCTGGCACAGAGACGGTAGTGGGGCTCTTTAGTGCCTTGGGGCTCCCCAGAGCCCCCTGCCCAGTGCTGCTTTGGAGCCAGAGCAAAAGCAGGGGCTGCGGACCACTGTGCCTAATAAGTTGCTGAGAGAAGAAGGTTGGGGACGGGGGAGGTGGTGGGTGGCCAGCTGAGGTGCAGTGCGCCTGGTATGCACTCCACGAGGGCCTGAGAACCAGTCTGCCCCCTCAGTTGTGAGAGGCTGTGGCTGCCAGGTGGCTCCTTGATGTCAGGGTCCACACTTGTCTAGCATGAGCCTTGCCCCCAGGTCTCCCCTTCCTCCTCTTCATTTATTACCCACTCCACTTAGGCCATGGTGGAGCAGAGAGGAGGGCGAGCTTTCCGCATGAGCAGAAGGGCTGGGCTTGGTTCCCTGGACAGCAAACTAACCTGCCATTGTTTCACCCTTCTGAATAAGGTGGCCATCAGGGAGGGTTTGCTCCAGCAGCAGGTACCCAAGGAAGCCTTCCCCCTGGAGTGCACGAGGCTCCGGGTGGGAGTGGGTTCAGTAACCCGGTGACCACGTGGCTTCTCGGCCTCGCTAAAGGGCCGGATCCCTTGGTGCCAGCGCCCTTGGCGCAGAGCGACGTTTTTACAGAAAATCAAAGGCCTCCCCCCGCTGCCTGGGTTCGGGGGTTCGGGAGCGTCGGGTCGTGGCTCCGGGCTGCCGCCTAGTGGCCGCGCCCTGCGTGTCCCGCGCCTCGAGGCGGCTCACGATAGAGACGTGGAGGCTTTTTTTCCAGAGCGGCCCGCGGGGGGGTGGCGTCACTTCCGGCGGCTTCCGATTGGCGCGGAGGGTGCGGCGGGCGGTGGCTCCTCGGCGGCTGAGGTGAGTGTGAGCCGGCGGGCGGCGGCGACTGGCCCTGCAGCCCCCGCGCCGCTGCGACCCGGTCCCCCCCGGCGGCCTGCTCCGGGAGGCCCCCGACGGCTGTCCGCCGCCGGCCCCGCCCGCGAGCCCCCTCCCCGGCCGCCCCCGGTGCCCGCCGCTCCCCTTCCCGGCCCCGGGCCCACGGCACCGACGCCCGAAGGCCGCGGCCGGCCTCGCCCTCGCGCCCCGGCCCGGGGGCCCGCCCCCTGTCCCTCCCGCCGCCTCCCCCGACCCGGTCCCCTCCGCCCCGCCGCCTGTCCCCCTCCCCTGCTCCCCCCCAGCTCCCCGCTCCCTCCGCCCCTGCTGTGTAGCTGGGAGCAGTCGAGGCCGGGGCTCTCCTTGCCGTCCTCTCTCCGCGTCCGGCCTCCCCGCCCCTTGCAGCCTCCGCGCTCCCCGCTCCGCCGGGTGTGCCTTCCTGCCTCCTCACCCTTTGCTGCTGCTGTTCCAGTTCCTCTCAGCAGGCAAATTGTTTTTCTTCCTAGAGGCTTTTATTCAAGGTCTGACATTTAAGACTTTTTAAATAAAAAATGCACCGTGTTTTTGTGCTTTGAAAATACATTTAAGGAAACTTTTTTAAAGGATCTTACTCATTTAAGAGCGTGCATGCAGGAGCCGGGGGAGGGGCGGAGGGAGAGGCCGACTGCTGAGCAGGGAGCCCGTGGGGCGCTTGGATCCCAGGACCCCGGGATCATGACCTGAGCCCGTTAACCTCAGCCACCCAGGCGCCCTTAAAAACAACAACAACAAAAAAGCTTCTAGCCGCAACCTTAAGGTCTAGAGCTAGCCTGGGGCCTGCCCCTCTCCCCACCCTTTTTTATAATTCAGGCTCCATGCGAAAGTGGGGCTTGCCCTCGGCACCCAGAGATGAAGACCCACGTGCTCTACTGACCGAAACACCAGGTGCACCCCTGTTGAGGTGGAAGAATGCTTTTAAGGAAAGCTGTTGAAGTGAAATTTCTAATTGCTGTTAGACTCAGGGTCCCCAATCCCATTTGGTTCCCTAAGCACCCTTATTTTGAACAATATACTTTGTGCAGTTTTTGTTAAGGTTTTTTTTTTTTTTTTTTTTTTTTAGTTTTATTTATTTATTCATGACACACAGAGAGGCAGAGACACAGGCAGAGGTAGAAGCGGGCTCCATGCAGGGAGCCCGACGCGGGACTACATCCTGGGTCTCCAGGATCACGCCCTGGGCTGAAGGCGGCGCTAAACCACTGAGCCACCCAGGACCGCCCAGTTTTTGTTTAGTTTTAGTGAATGTAATTGATACACAAGAATTGTATAAATTTTAGATGTACACGTTTGTTTTGATCTATGCATGCATTGTAAGATTAAACCTAACTAGCATGTTCCTCATCTCACCTAGGTACAATTTTCTTTTTTGGTTTTTGTGAGGATATTTAAGACCTATCCTCTTGGCAAATTTCTTTCTTTTTAAAGATTTATTTACTTGACACAGAATGAGAGCACAAGCAGGGAGAGTGGCAGAGTCTCCCTAAGAGGCAAGGAGCCCAATGGGGGTCTCAACCCCAAGACCCTGGGGTCATGAGTCAAGCTGAAGGCAGACTGAGCCACCCAGGTGCCCCCCTCCCCCTTAGCAAATTTCATAGTTACAAAACAGTATTGTTAACCGTAGTCACAATGCTCTATATTAGATTTCCAGAATTTACTCATCTTGCAGAGCTGAGAGTTTGTGCTCTTAGCTGCATCTCACCATTTCCCCCAAGGCCCAAACCTTGGCAGCCATCCATTCTTCTCTCTGCTTCTCTGATTTCGACTCTCTTGGATACCACATATTAGTGAGTCATGTGGTATTTGTCTTTCTGTGTCTGGTTTATTGCATTTAGCATAACGCCCTCAAGGTTCATCCATATTGTAGCGAATGGCAAAATTTCATTCTTTAGTGGCTGAGTACTATTCCATTGTGTATATACTACATCCTGTACCCTTTCATCTATTGTTGGACACTTAGGTTGATTTTTTTTTAAGGCACCTCCACCCTGTTTTCCATAACGGCTGCACCAATTTACATTTCCACCAACGGTGCACAAAGATTTTCTTTTCTCTACATCCTTACCTCACATATCTTTTGCATTTTGATAATATTCTGACAGCTATGAGGTGAAGCTCATTGTGGTTTTTTTTTTTTAATTTTTTTTAAAATTTATTTACGATAGTCATACAGAGAGAGAGAGAGGCAGAGACACAGGCAGAGGGAGAAGCAGGCTCCATGCACCGGGAGCCCGACGTGGGATTCGATCCCGGGTCTCCAGGATCGCGCCCTGGGCCAAAGGCAGGCGCCAAACCACTGCGCCACCCAGGGATCCCCCTCATTGTGGTTTTTATTTGCAATTAGGTTGATCACCTTTTCAGGTACCTGTTGGTCATTTGTATGTTTTTGTGGAGAAATTGAGGTTCTTTGCCCTGTTTTTTTTTTCTTTGCCCCTGTTAAATTGGATTTTATAGTTTTTTTCCCCCATATTTAGTTGTGTAAAGTCCTTATGTATTTTAGATCTTAATTCTTTTTTTTTTTTTTTTAAGATTTTATTTTTTCATGAGAGACACACAGAGAGAGGCAGAGACACAGGCAGATGGAGAAGCGGCCTCCCTACGGGGAGCCTGATGTGGGACTTCATCCCAGGACCCTCGGGGTTGCGTCCTGAGCCGAAGGCAGACCCTCAGCCACTGAGCCACCCAGGTGCTTCCGTGCTCCTAGATCTTAATTCTTAATTCCTAATCAGATACATGGTTTGCAGATATTATCTCCCATTTCTTTTTTTTTTTTAAGATTTATTTATCTATTCATTCATTCATGATAGACAGAGGCAGAGACACAGGCAGAGGGAGAAGCATGCTCCCTGCTAGCCTAACGCGGGACTCGATCCCGGGACTTGGATCGCGCTGGGCCAAAGGCAGGCGCTAAACCACTGAGCCACCCAGGGATCCCCTTATCTCCCATCTCTTAGGTGCCTTTTTCACTCTGTTGATTGTTACTTTTCTGTCAGCACATTTTCTTATACCTCTACACGCTTACTAGTGTTTTAAAATCTACATTCAGGGATTCCTGGGTGACTCAGCGGTTTAGCGCCTGCCTTGGCCCAGGGCGTGGTCCTGGGGTCCCAGGATCGAGTCCCGCGTCGGGCTTCCTGCATGGAGCCTGCTTCTCCCTCTGCCTGTGTCTCTGCCTCTCTCTGTCCCTCGTGAATAAATAAATATTTAAAAAATAAATACAATCTACATACATAGGGGTATCTGGGTTGCTTAGTGGTTGAGCATCTGCCTTCGGCTCAGGGCGTGATCCTGGGATCGACTCTCACATCGGGCTTCCCACAGGGAGCCTGCTTCTCCCTCTGCCATGTCTCTCCCTCTTTCTCAGTGTCTCTCATGAATAAATAAAATCTTTAAAAAATCTACATACATAATGTAGTATTGATACTCTACACTTAATGGTTTCACTAATCCTTTTTTTTTTTAAGATTTTATTTATTTATTCATGAGAGACCTAGAGAGAGAGGCAGACACACAGGCAGAGGGAGAAGCGGGCTCTGTGCAGGGAGCCTGATGTGGGACTCGATCCCCTGGCCTTAGGATCACGCCCTGGGCCGAAGGCAGGCGCTAAACCACTGAGCCACCCAGGGATCCCCTTTTCCTTATGTCTTTAACATTTGCAGGAGGCCTGGATGGCTCAGCGGTTGAGCATCTACCTTTGGCTCAGGGTGTGATCCTGGGATCCTAGGATTGAGTCCTGCTTTGGGCTCCCTGCAGGGAGCCTGCTTCTCCCTCTGCCTGTGTCTCTTTCTTTCTCTCTCTGTGTGTTTCTCATGAATAAATAAATAAATCTTTAAAATATTATAGCTAGGGACACCTGGGTGGCTCAGCGGTTGAGTGTCTGCCTTCAGCTCAGGGCGTGATCCGGGAATCTGGGATCGAGTCCCATGTCGGGCTCCCTGAGAGGAGCCTGCTTCTCTTTCTGCCTCTCTCTCTCTGTGTGTCTCTCATGAATAAATGAATAAAATCTTAAAAAAAATATTATAGCTATAGGGTAGCCTGGGTGGCTCAGCAGTTTAGCGCGCCTTCGTCCGGGGTCGCGATCCTGGAGTCGTGGGATCGAGTCCCATGTCGGGCTCCCTGCATGGAGCCTGCTTCTACCTCTGCCTGTGTCTCTGCCTCTCTCTTTCTCATGAATGAATAAATAAAATCTTTAAAAAATATATTATAGCTATTAAAATAATATGGGAAATACAGTACATCAAAGAAAAGTTTAATTTTACTCCAAAATTTTTTCTGTACACCACAAAATTAAAAGACAAGCTGCAGAGTGAAAGGTATTTGCAAACATACTTAATACATAAGAAAAGATATACAGAATATGTTTTAAAGTAAAAAGACCATTTATTTTAAGAAATGAACACAGGATGACTTGGGAATTCATAGACAATGAAATCAGTCTAATAAACATGTGAAAAGATCTTCAATGTCATTGAGAATTAAGGAAATGCAAATTCAAGACCTCTCTCCCCACAGATTGGGGAAAATACAAAATGCTTCACAATAGCAATTTTTTTTTCTTTAAGATTTTATTTATTTGCTCATGAGACATATAGAGGCAGAGACACAGGCAGAGGGAGAAGCAGCCTCCACTCCGGGAGCCCAGTGTGGGACTTGATCCCGGGACCACAAGGTCATGCTCTGAGCCGAAGGCAGGCACTTAATCGCTGAACCTCCTAGGCGTCCCTGAATTTTACTTTCCTGTAGATCAGTTGTGTTGGTACCATTTTGATAGCATGTCATTGTGTCCTTAATGCAGGCACAGATCTGTTCATTAATTTCTTTGCTATGCTTACGCCTCACTTTTGTTACCATAGCCTTACAGTAAGTCTTGATGTGGTAGGGCGTGCCTCTGCCTACCTTAGTTCTTTTTTAGCATTGCCTTGGTTAATCTGGATCATTACGATATTGAATCTTTTTTTTTTTTTTGATATTGAATCATTTTGATCAGATTTTATGTTATGTCCTGTTACAATTTTGGTTGTATAGATTTACTTGGGGGATAATTGACATTTTTATGATATTGCATCTTCCTGTTTATGAACACTGTTTCTCCATAGGTCTTTTTGATGTCCTTCAATAAAGTTTTACCATTTTGTCCCCAGGGTCTTGGATCACACTCTGATAACTGTTGCTGCATATATGGTATGTAGGATTATGTCCCCCCCCCCCTTTTTTTTTAAGATTCTCTTTTTTTATGAGACACACACAGAGGCATAGGCACAGGCAGAGGGAGAAGCAGGCTTCCCGTGGGGAACCTGATGTGGGACTTGATCCTAGGACCCTGGGATCACGCCCTGAGCCAAAGGCAGACACTCAACCGCTGAGCCACCCAGGTACTCCCCTTTTTTGTTCTTAGAAATATTTCTTTTTCTTTTTTTTTTTTTTGAAATATTTATTTTTCCATCTCTTTTCTGCCCCCCCCATTGGACTTACCAAATGTTTTTGTCTTTTAACAGCACTGTTGAGATTATGTTGTTTCTTTAAATCGAGTATTCTTTATTTTTTTCTTTTCTTGAATTACTTTTTTTAGTCTGTGTTTAATTTTTTATTAAATGTTTAGATCAGGGGGATCCCTGGGTGGCTCAGCTGTTTAGCACCTGCCTTTGGACCAGGGCGTAATCCTGGAGCCCCGGGATTGAGTCCCACATCGGGCTCCCTGCATGAAGCCTGCTTCTCCCTCTGCTTGTGTCTCTGCCTCTCTCCCTCTCTCTGTGTGTGTCTCTTGTGAATAAATAAATAAAATCTTAAAAAAAAAAAAGTTTAGATCATTTATTTCAGTCTCTCTTCTCCTAAAATAAGAGCACTAAGAATGCACATTTTCCCTTATGTAACCTCCTTTTCCATTTCTATGTTTTTCTTGGGGGGGGGGATACTTTTCAAAAAACATTTTATTTGTTTATTAGAGAGAAAGTGTGTGCATGCCCATGAGCAAGGGGAGGGGCAGGGAGAGAAGCAGACCATTTCAGGACCCCGAGATCACAGCCTGAGCTGAAGGCAGAGCTTAGCTGACTGAGCTGCCCAGGTACCCCTGAGGGGGTACGTATTTATCAGATATTTCCAGTATAACAACAGTGGTCAGCGAATGTTTTGCCAGATGGTATCAGTGTTTGGAATTTGTTGAAACTTCCATTGTTGCCTGGTTTGTGGTGCTCCTTAATCTTTTTGAATGTATATTTTGGAAAATGTGTAATCTCTATGTTTTAAGTACCTATTCTCTACTTGTTCCATTCATTTCTGAGGGAAGTGTGTTGAAATCTCTGGTTCCAGGGGAGGTTTGCCAGTTGCTCTTTGCTACTTCTGTTTAGTATTGGTTTCTACATTTCGAGTTTGTTGTTAGATATGCATTTGTCTGTAAGTACAGGTCTTGGGTGGATTTTCCTTTTATTAATATGTATTATTTATTTTTGTTTCTATTAGTGATTTTTACTTTCAGTTCTGTTTTGATGGTATAAATATCGCGAAACCACACATAGCAATTGTATATTAAGCTCACAAGCATCACAATGGAGGGAAGAAGCCAGAGTGTAGACAGCACAGGTGCTTGATAAAGTTCACCAGAAGCACACCTGATGTGTGGTGGTGGAAGTGGATGGAGGCGTACCCTTGGGAGTTCAGGAAGGAAGCAGTGCCTGCAGGGGCAGGAGGGCCGACTTGGGTGCTGGTTCTGTGGGCGTGGGCCCTTTGTGACTGCCCCTTGAGCGTGTGTTCAGGATTTGTTGAGACTTCTGCATAAATTTCATATTTCAATAAAGAGCTTTATAAGTAAAGAAAAGGTAGGGGTGTGTGGGTGGCTCAGTTGGTTAGTCATCTGCTTTCGCTCAGGTTGTGATCTCAGGGTCCTGGGATCAAGCCCCGAGTCCAGCTTCCTGCTCAGCAGGGAGGCTGCTTTTCCCTCTCCCTCTTGCCCTCCCCTGCTCTTGGTGTGTCTCTCTCTCTCTTGCTCTCATAAATAAATAAATAAATAAATAAATAAATAAATAAATAAAATAAATAAATAAATAAATAAAGTCTTCAAAAACAAAATAAAGAAAAGGTATATAGTTAACACAGTTTTATTTTTATTTATTTTTTTTACACAGTTTTATTTTATTTAGCATTTGTGTTGTTGTCTATTCAGGCTTTCTGTGTTACTGTATTTTAGGTTATGCAGGAGCATTGTGTGTGTATCAGAGACTCTTGTGCTTGTAGTAGGTGAGTTTAATCCTCTTATTTCTTACCATCACTCAGACACTGAACTTATTTCTACTACTATTGTATTTTTAAGTGTCTATACTTTTGTTCTGTACCTTGTATTGATTTTTTTTTCCACTTTAACTCAATACTTAATAAGTTGTCTTTATTCTTTCACATAAAGTGAATCTTCCTACTAAATGAGGCAGCTTGATGTGTCAAGAAGGTCGAGGGGAACAGATGGCCTGAGGAATTGTGCATACATTCCTGTAGTGGGGGCACGGTTGTGCAGGGCAGCCCCAGGTAGGGAGCAGAGTCTTCCTGGGAGACTAGCTGTGTCCTGATGGGGATGAGCACGGTCCTGAAGCTGCCCACAGAAGGGGCCAGGCTGGGCCTCCATGTGTTCTTCTCTCTTCCCTCAGCACCAGTGTGACTCATCACTGATTTCTCTCCTGGGAAGCCCAGGGTACCAGGTGATGGAGGCTTTGCACCTGTCTGCTCTGCCCCAGGTGAGCATCCGTTTTCCCTGAGAGGTCTGCAATCTCCAGATAGGGCTTCCTTGCCTGCTCTGCTTCAGCAGACACTGTCAGCCATCTTGGTCTGGGATGTTGAGCAGAAGAGGGGTGATCCTGGTATTCCCTCAGCCTTCCAGAGTTACTGGCTTAGTGGCCAAAGGTTCAGGCTACTCTCCTTGGCCATACTAGGGCATCAGACTCGTCACCCCTGTGCTGCTATTCCTGGTATGCTTCTGGTGCTTCTGCCCCCAGGGCCCACTCTGAGCTGCACCTGGGCCTGCAGCAGCCCCTGTCATTCCAGGCTGAGGTGACCTTTGAGGACGTGGCCGTGCTATTCTCCCGGGAGGAGTGGGGCCGTCTGGGCCCTTCTCAGAGGGGCCTCTACAGGGATGTGATGCTGGAGACCTACAGGAATCTGGTCTCCCTGGGTAAGGCCCCTCACCAGGATGCTGTTCAGGGGACAACCCTGGGGATGGATGGCTCATCAGGGGCTGGGCTGGGGGCCTCACCCTCTGGTCCTTGACAGGCCTGGTCTTTGCAAAGGGAGGTCCAGGTGGGGCTGGGTTAGTGGTTCTCTCCTCTAAGCTCCCAGATAAGACTGCCTCCCTGCCGCAGGCCCAATCCATTCCTAGAGGGAGTGCATACCTCCAGGTGGAGAGAGCACCCTGCATTCTTGTTCCCATGCTCAGATCTCATCTTCATGACCATCCCAACCTGCCAGAGTGTCCAGACTTCCCAGCTCCCCACTTTGCCTTTGCTTCTCCTTCCTGCTACAGTCCCAGATGAGGTTACACTCAGTGCAGCCCTGCATCCTTGGCACCAACCCTAGGCCCCGTTTTCTTCCCAGGAGCTGGACCTGTAGGTCCCAAGCCTGGGGTGATCACACAGTTGGAGCGAGGGGATGAGCCATGGGACCTGGATGCACAGGGCGCCAAGGGGACAGAGCGACTGAGAGTCAGTGTCTCAGGTGCGTGAGGGGGGCCACTTCCTAACAGTTGCTCAACAGGCATTTGTCAGGGTCCAAGGTGTGTGGTTAATGACTCAGGCATTTAGAACAAGGTGCATCAGGGCCAGCATGGTAACCCTAGGAGTGGCTGATGTTGAAATCCAGGTCACCCCCATCAGCCTGGGTGCCTCAGTGTGGTGATTCTTGAGCTGCATCTTCTAGGAGAGTGAAAGGGGGGATTGTTGGCAGAGAAGAGGGAATGCTGGACCCCATGGAGCCCTGCCCTTCAGAGCTCATGCCCTATGAGGAGGGTCAGATAGGGCCATAGTGATGGAGACCATCACTTCATTCTCCTTGTCTACATTATCCACTTGACAGTTATAGACCAATACAAACAAGAGAGAACGTCTCATCAACCACATACCAGTGTGTTCCATTGTGTGCCTGTTGTCCCCTTTCTTGTGCGGTCTGTCCACACCCATATATGAATGTTGCTTTTTTTTTTTTTCAAAGATTTTGTTTATTTATTCATGAGAGACACACAGAGAGAGGCAGAGACACAGGCAGAGGTAGAAGCAGGCTCCCTGCAGGGAGCCCGATGTGGGACTCAATCCCAGGATCACCCCCGAGCCAAAGGCAGACGCTCAACCGCTAAGCCACCCGGGCGTCCCTGAATGTTGCTTCTTGACAGGAATGCAGTGATCCCTTGTGTACTGCTGTCATCTCCTTTTTCACTCACGGAGTGTCCATTTTTATGCCCACGAGTCTCAGTCACTGCTTTTGCTGGAAGTGGCAGTGGGAAGGGTGCTCTCTAGTTTCATTGCCGTGGACAACTCTGATAAGCATTATTTTGGACGTGTCTTGATGATGTCCTAAGAAGCAAGTACTGGCTAAAAGACTTGAATTTCTGTTTTGTAAATATATTTATTCAAATAACAATACTTACAGAACCAGGATAAACCCTAAGTTTATAACTCAGTGAATTTTTATAAAAAATCATCTTGTAGGGGATCCCTGGGTGGCTCAGCGGTTTGGCGCCTGCCTTTGGCCCAGGGCGTGGTCCTGGATCCTGGGATCAAGTCCCACGTCGGGCTCCCAGCATGGAGCCTGCTTCTCCCTCCTCCTGTGTCTCTGCCTCTCTCTCTCTCTCCTCTCTCTCTACGTCTATCATAAATAAGTAAATAAATCTGGAAAAAAAATCTAAAAAAAAAATCATCCTGTAAATCAAAATGCAAACACTTTCTAGCTCCCAGAGAGCCCACTGGGCCTCAGGTGTCATTTCCCACTGCTCCTCATAGGGTCCCTCTCTAACTCCTGGATGCCGCTCTGCCCATTAGCTCTGTGTCTGGTCTCATTCGGGGCATCTGAGGGCTGCCATGTTGTACAGCATACATTCTGTTCCATCGCCATACAGTGTTCTGTCATATGAATATGCCACAGATTATTTCCATTCTTTTTTTTTTTCCATTCTTGTTGATATTTGGTTATCCTTATTTTGGGATTGTTGTGCATGTTTCTCTTGCTCACAGAGAATGCATTCTGGTACCATATTTCTGCAGTTGGAGTTGGTGTATGAATGGCTAGTCAAGGTACTAAGGAATGGAGGCTTGAGGGTATCAGGAAGTATTCTGTATGGCATCTTGAGTTTAAGGGGCTGATGGTTAACTGGGTTGCCTCTCAGGTCTCTCTCCTTTTTGTTTTTTTTCTTTCCAAGATTTTATTCATATATTCATGAGAGACACACAGAAACAGAGACATAGGCAGAGGGAGAAGAAGCAGGCTCCATGCAGGGAGCTCAGTGTGGGACTTGATCCCAGGACCCCGGAATCACACCCTGAACCAAAGGCAGATGCTCAACCACGGAGCCACCAGGCATCCCAATCTCTCAGGCCTCTTGAGAAAAGCCCAGAGAATGGGTTCGGCCTGCCAAGGAGGGCTGAGGGTCTTGGTGTGCTCTGCAGTCTGTGGTTGGCATGACATTAGCCCTCTCTGTCCTGAGGAGGCAACTGGTTTTCCTACCATAAATTTTGGGAGTAGATTTGCTATTGTGAGGTGGCCTTAGACTCACATCTTTGTCAGATGTGACTGACTTTCAGGGCCCCTCTGGTCTCTATGGTGGTATGAAGCTTCCATCTTCTGTACTTTTCTGATGAGGACCTACATCCTACAAGCCCCACTTAGGCAGAAGGCAGGCAGAAGAATTGGTCGAGCCTGGGTTGAAATACTTGTACCGCTGCAAGATTGCAGCCTTAGGTGAGGTCGTTAAGCCTCTAAGCTACAGGCTCTCATCTCTGCAAGGTGTTGTGACTTTGGAGATGAAGGAATTGATACTGTACAGGTGGTGGGTACCATCTTCCTATTTTCCTTCTCAGGTCAGGACAGGTGGTCCTAAGATGTTGTGTTTGTTGTTCCAGGTCATGGGGCCAGGACTGAATTTAAGGAGTTGTCTTCGGGGGAGATGCTTGATAGGGAAGAACTGGATCAACTCCAGGGGGCTGTTCCCCAGGGACATGATCCTGAAGAGATCCCTGCATGGAGCAGGGAGCCAGAGGAGAGCCTGGACAAGCCTGTGGAGCAGAGAGACCTGAGGCCAGTCCCACTGACCAGTGAGGACAGCATTCAGGAGTCTGGGGGAGGCCTCAGGTTTTGGTCAAGCCCTGTCTCTAATCAGAGACCTCATAAATGCGATATATGTGAACAGAGTTTCGAACAGAGATCATACCTTAATAACCATAAGCGTGTACACAGGTCAAAAAAGACAAATATTGTCCATGATTCTGGGGAATTCTTCAGTGCAAATTTAGTTGTTAAAGATCAGAAAATTCCTCTTGGGAAAAAATTACATTATTGTGGTTACTGTGGGAAGGCCTTCAGGTACAGTGCTAATCTTGTCAAACACCAGCGGCTTCATAGTGAAGAGAAGCCCTACAAATGTGATGAGTGTGGGAAAGCCTTCAGCCAGAGCTGCGAGTTCATCAATCACCGAAGGATGCACTCAGGCGAGATCCCCTACCGTTGTGGTGAGTGTGGGAAGACATTCAATCAGAGGCCCAACCTCATGAAGCATCAGAGAATTCATACTGGGGAGAAGCCCTACAAGTGTGGTGATTGTGGGAAACACTTCAGCGCCTATTCTTCCCTTATATATCACCAGAGAATCCACACTGGAGAGAAACCCTATAAGTGTAACGACTGTGGGAAAGCCTTCAGTGATGGCTCAATCCTTATCCGACATCGCCGGACCCACACTGGGGAGAAGCCGTTTGAGTGTAAAGAATGTGGCAAAGGCTTTACCCAAAGTTCTAACCTTATCCAACATCAAAGAATTCACACTGGTGAGAAACCCTATAAATGTAATGAATGTGAGAAAGCCTTCATCCAAAAAACCAAACTTGTTGAACATCAGAGAAGCCACACTGGAGAGAAGCCCTATGAATGTAATGACTGTGGCAAAGTCTTCAGCCAGAGCACACACCTTATCCAGCATCAGAGGATTCACACAGGAGAGAAGCCGTACAAGTGTAGTGAGTGTGGGAAGGCCTTCCACAACAGTTCCAGACTCATCCATCACCAGAGGTCTCACCACGGAGAGAAGCCGTACAAATGCAGTGATTGCAAGAAAGCCTTTAGCCAGGGCACTTATCTCATCCAGCACCGGAGGATCCACACTGGCGAGAAGCCCTACAAATGCAGCAAGTGTGGGAAGGCCTTCCGGCACAGTTCGAACATGTGCCAGCATCAGAGGATTCACCTCCGGGAAGACTTCTCGAGGTGATCATGGAGGAGGATTCATGAGTTCCACTATGTACTTCTTCCATATGACCCACCCCACCCTTTTATTTATTGTCCACACAGTGTTGTTACAGATGAAGGGCGTTTCTAATTAAAAACAAGCAACAAAAATTCTTTTCTTAAACCAAAAGCACTGCATGTTCATTTTAGAGAAATTAAGAGTATTAAGCAAAAAGAAGTTCTCCCCCACTTAGGAAAAGAATCTGTCACTGCTGATATAAGTTTCCTTTCACACATAATTAAGAGCATTTAAAAAAGGAAATACTGTGTGCTTGTCGCTGCACATAGGATCTTCACCTATTGCTATTCTTTAATCCTAGAAAACTCACACTGGAAAGAATTCTACATATTTACATGTTTTCACATATTGTAAATTTAAAAGATTAACATAGTCATACTTTTCTGTGTGTCTTTGTAATAGAGTTGATAATTGCCGTTTTCATTGTGGTATATATGCATAACATAAAATTTACCATTTTAACCATTTTTACATGTATAGTTCAGTGGCATTAAGTACATTCACAGTGTTGTATAACCATCACTACTGTTTTTTTTTAATCTGAAACAAAGTCTATACCCATTAAACAATAACTCCCCTCTTTTCCTCCTCTTAGCCGCTGACAATCTCTGTTCTGTTTTCTATGAATTTGCCTATTCTAGGTTCCTCATAAGTGGAATAATACAATATTTGCCCTTTATATCTGGCTTATTTCACTTTGCATAATGTCCTCAAGGTTCATCCATTTTGTAGCCTGTATCAGAATGTCATGCTTTTTTATGTCTGAAAAACATGACTTTGTTCATAGATACCATGTTTTGTTGATTCATTCATCTGTTAATAGACACTTGAGTGTTTCTGCCTTTTGGCTGTTGTGCATACACTGCTGCGAGTGGGTGCACAAGTATCTTTTTTTGACCTTTTTGGGGGTAGGGGAGAGAGTGCATGAGCAGTGGGGGTGGAGGTAGGGGCAGAGAGAGAAAGAGAATTTTAAGCAGGTTCCACAACCAGGGCAGAGCCCCATGTGGGGCTTGATCTCATGACCCCGAGATCATGATCTGAGCTAAAATCAAGAATTGGATGCTTAGTCAACTGAGCCATGCAGGCATCCCTTGGATCATTACTCTCAATACTTCTGGGTGTAATTCTGGGAGCGAAATTGCTGGATCATATGGTAATTATTCTACCTTTACCTTTTGAGGAACGGCCAGACTTTTCCACAGTGGCTGTACCACTTTACAGCCATGTACCATTTACCCTTGTACATTCCCAGCAGCAATGAATAGAGGGTTCTAATTTCCCTACATCTTTGTCAACACTTGTTATTTTCTGTTTTTTTAAAAATAGTATCCATCCTAATGGGTGTGAAATGGTTTCTCATTGTGGTTTTGGTTTGTATTTTTCTGATGACTAATGATGTTGAACATCTTTTCAGGCACTTATTGACCATTTGTCTTCTTCGGAGAAATATCTGTCTAAGTCCTTTGCCCATTTTAGAATTGGGTTTTTAATTATTTTTTAAGTTTTGAGGTGTAGGAATTCTTTGTGTATTTTCATGGTGGTCCCTTATCAGATATGCGATTTGCAGATATTTACTCTTATTCTGTGAGTTCTATCTACTCTCGTGTCCTTTGATGCACACAAAGTTTTAATTTTTATGAAGTTTATTTTTTCTTTTGTTGCCTATGCTTTGGATATCATAACCAAGAAACTGTTAAATGCAAGGTTAGGAAGATTCCCCCCTCCCCCTTTTATTCTGAGTTTTATAGCTTTAGGTCTAAGGTTTTGGTCTTGGATCCATTATAAGTTGACTTTTATATATGGTATCAGGTAAGGGTCCAACATCTTTTGCATCCAATTTTCCATACAACATTTTTTGAAAAGACACAGTTTTCCCCATTGAATAGTATAGGCATATCTCAGAGATAGTGTGTGTTCAGCTCCAGACCACTCTGATAAAGCAGATATCTCAGTAAAGCAAGTCAAATAAATTTCTGGTTTTTCAATTCATATAAATGTTATGTTTACACTACAGTGTGTATTAAGTGTGCAGTGACATATCTAAAAATGCAGTGTACAAACCTTAAACACTTTATTTCTAATAAATGGTATCTGAACTCTCAGCAAATCATGACTGGTTATAGGTTCCCATAACAAATATAATAGTGAAAAAGTTTGGGGGATCCCTGGGTGGCTCAGCGGTTTAGCCCCTGCCTTCTGCCCAGGGCATGATCCTGAAGTCTCGGGATCAAGTCTCCGGATCAAGTCTTGGGATCGAGTCCTGGGATCGAGTCCCACATCAGACTCCCCACATGGAGCCTGCTTCTCCCGCTGCCTGTGTCTCTGCCTTTCTCTCTCTCTCTTTCATGAATAAATAAAATCTTTTAAAAAATAGTGAAAAAGTTTGAAGTATTGAGAGTATTTGTAGTATTCCCAAAATGTGACAGACAAAAAGTGAATAAATTGCTGTTGGAAAAATAGTGCCAATAGACCTGGTCAACATAGGATTGCCACACATCTTCAGTTTGCAAGAAACACAATAAAGCAAAGCACAATAAAACCAGGTATGCCTGTATTGGCTTAGGCTACCATAAAAATACCACAGACCTGGTGGCTTAAAACACAAATTTATCAAAAACAAATTTGACTCTCATATTTCTAGAAACTAAGTTCGAGATCTAGGTGCTGGATGATTCAGCCCTAGTGAGGGTTCTCTTCCTGGCTTCAATACAGCTGCCTTCTCACTGTGTCCTGGCATGGGAGAGAATATCTCAGATGTCTCTTCCTTTTATAAGGGCATCAGCCCTATCAGATTAGGGCCCCACTTTTTTCATCTCATTTAACCTTTATTACCAGTTAACAAGCCCTATCTCCAAATACAGTCGCATTGGGTTAGAGCTTCAACATCATGAATAGTAGGGTGGGACGGAGGGGAAACACAAACAGTTCATAAATGGTTGTGGCACCCTTATCTAAAATCAATTGACCATACAATGCAGGGGTTTATTGCTGGGCTCTATTCTGTTCATCTTTCCTTATGCCAGCACTGTATTGTCATTTACTGTAGCTTTATAGGAAGTTTAGAAATCAGGAAGGGAGTCCTTCCATTTTGTTCTTTTTCAAGTTTATTTTGGCTATTTGGGATCCCTATCTGGGATTCCATATGAATTTTAGGATGGGATTTTCTATTTCTGCAAAATCACAGCTTTTGATAGGGATTGCATTGAATCTATAGATCAGTTAGGATGGTATTGTCATACGAATCCATCAAGCCTTCCATGAACATAGGATATATTTCCATTTGTTTAAATGTTCTTTTCTTTTTAAAAGATTTTATTTATATATTCATGAGAGACACAGAGAGAGAGAGGCAGAAACATAGGCAGAGGGAGAAGCAGGCTCCCAGCAGGGACCGGATGCGGGACTTGGTCCCGGGACCCCGGGTTCATGACCCGAGCCAAAGGCAGATGCTCAACCACTGAGCCACCCAGGGGTCCCTCTTAATTTTTTTTTTAATTAATGGAATGCAACTAATTTTATGTCGGTTTTGTATATTGCTATTTTGCTGAATTAGTTTGTTCCTAAGATTTTGTTTTGTTTTGTTTTGTTTTTCATTTTGGCATGTGTAATCTTTAGGGTTTCCTCATATAAGGTCATGTAATCTGTTAACACAGATAGTTTAACTTCTTTTCCAACTTGGGTGCCTTGTATTCACTTTCCTTGCCTAATTGCTCTGGCTAGAATTTCCAGTACTTTCTTGAATAGAAGTAGCAAAAGCGAGCATCCTTTTCTTGTTCTTGATCTTAAAGCCTTCAGTCTTTACCATTATGTATTATATTAGGTTTTTCTATATGATTTTTACCATGCTGAGGACGTTTCTTTTTATTTCTGGTTTATTGAGTGCTTTTATCAAGAAACTGAAGTTTTACCAAAAGCTTTTTTTGTATCAGTTGAAAAGATCAAGTGGGTTGTTTTTTTTTTTTGTTTGTTTGTTTCATTCTGATAATGTGATCAATTACAATGACTAATTTTGATGTTAACCATTCTTTCATTCTGGGGATAAATTCCACTTTGTCATAGTGTATAATCCTTTCCAATAGTCTATTGAATTTGCTTTGCTAGAATTTTTAAAAAAGGTTTTATTGATTCATGAAAGATATATAAGAGAGGCGGAGACACAGGCAGAGGGAGAAGCAGGCTCCCTGTGGGGGGCCCAATGCAGTATTCGATCCCAGGACCCCTAGGTCATGCCCTGGTCCCAAGGCAGACGCTTCAATGCTGAGTCACCCAGGCATCCCATGGTTTGCTAGTATTTTATTGAGGATTTTGCATCGGTAGTCATAAGGGATATAGGTACCTAGTTTTTGTTTCTCTTTGATATCAGGGTAATCTGAGCCTCATAGAATGAGTTAGGAAGTTTTATTTCCACTTTAATTTTTAAAATATTTATTTTGGGGGAGAGGCAGAAGGAGCCAACTCCATGCTGATTGTGGAGCCTGATGTGGGGTTGATCTCATAACCCTGAGATCATGAGCTGAGCTGAACCCAGAGTTGGATGCTTAACTGAGTCATCAAGCCACCCTCTACTTTAATTTTTAGAAAGAATTTGTGGATTAGTATTTATTCTTTTTAAAATGTTCAGTAGAATCGACCAGTGAAGCCATCTGTGTTGGGATTTTCTTTGTTGGGAAGATTTTGATCATTGATTAAATCTTCTTACTAGATACAAATCTATTCAGATTTTCTCCTTCATGAGTCAGTGGTAGATTGTGTGTTTCTAGGAATTTGTCCATTTCATCTAGATTATCTAATTCATTAGCATACAGTTGTTCATAGTATTCTTACATAATCCTTTTTATTTCTGTGAGGCTGGTCACGATGACCACACATATACTTCTGTTTTTTAATAATTTAAATTTTCTCTATTTACTTAGCTTAAAAGTTTGTCAACATTGTTGATCAATTCAATGAGCTAACTTGAAGTTTCTTGATTTTCTCTATTTCTGTATTTTCTAGATCATTATTTCCACTCTGATCTTTACTATCAACCTTCTTTCTATTTGTGTTTTGTTTGCTTTTCCCTGGTTCCTTCTTCTTCTTCTTCTTCTTCTTCTTCTTCTTCTTCTTCTTCTTCTTCGAGAGAGAGAGAGAGAGAGAGAGAGAGAGAGAGAGGTGAGAGGGGGTGGGGGACGGACAGAGGAAGAAGGAGAGAGTAATCTTTAGTAGACTCCACACTGAGTGTGGAGCCCAACATGAGCCAAATCAAGAGTCAGATGCTTAACCAACTGAGCCACCCAGGCACACTTTTCCCCCCTAGTTTCTTGGAGTGTACAGTTAGGTTATTGATTGAGAACTTTAACAAATTAATTAATTAATTAATTTTAAAATAGGCACCTCAACCAGCATGGAGCCAAGTGCAGGGCTTGAACTCAGGACCCTGAGATCAAGACCTGAGCTGAAGGCAGATGTTTAACTGACAGAGCCACCCAAGTACCCCTTCATGTATGCTTTTAAAGTTTTAAATTTCTTTCTATGCACTGCTTTCACAACATCCCATAAGCTTTGGTATATTGTGGTTTTGCTTTCATTCATCACTAGGTATTTTCTACATTCCCTTGTAATTTCTTCTTCCGCTTACTTGTTGTTTAAAAGTTTGGTTTAGGGGCAGCCCTGGTGCCTCAGTGGTTTAGCGCTGCCTTCAGCCCAGGGCATGATCCTGGAGACCCAGGATCAAGTCCCACATTGGGCTCCCTGCATGGAGCCTGCTTCTCCCTCTGCCTGTGTCTCTGCCTCTCTCTGTGTGTCTCTCCTGAATAAATAAATAAAATCTTTAAAAATTTTTTGGTTTAATTTTCCAATTTTTCTTCTGTAATTGATTTCTAGTTTTATTGTAATTGGAAAAGATAATTTAGGATTTTAAAATTTTTTAAAGATTTTATTTATTCATGAGAGAATAAAATAAAACCTTTAAAAACAAAACAAAACAAAAAACCCCAGAATTAAATAAAATATGTTGCAACTTGCTTTGTAGACTACTATGGTCTAGAAAATGTTCCATGTGCACTTGAGGAGAATATGTATTCTGCTGTTGCATGGAGTGTTCTGTAGATGTTTCTTAGGTCTAATTGGTTTTAGTGTCCTTCAGGTGGTCTTCTTTCCTTGTTGATTTTCTGTTTGGTTGTTCTATTATTGAAAGAGGAGTATTGAAGTCTCCTATCCTTATTATAAGAACTTTTCTTCCCCTTTCAAAACTGTCATTTTTGCTTTGCATATTTTAGGACTCTACTATTAGGTGTGTATGTGTATGTATTATAATATTTTCTTGCTTTTTATCTATAATTTCTTTTTTCTCTTCTAATCTTCTAGTTTTTTTGTCAACATGTCTCTGATAATACGAGAGCCATTTCAACTCTTTTCTAGTTACTGTGCATGAATTATATTTCTTCATCCTTTCAACTTCTTTGTGTCCTTATTGCTAAGGTGATCTTTCATAGACTGCACGTAGTTGGATCCTGATTCTTTAAAATCCAAACTTCCGATCTCTGCCTTTACTAGGATAGCTTAATCCATTTGTATTTTAGATGATTACTGATGAAATATTTACTTCTATCTTATCTGTCTTGTGTATGTCTTGTTTTTCCCCCCTCTATTTCTATGTCCGTGCCTGTTTTTTTTGTACTTGTGTCTTGTAGTGTACTATTCTAATTCCTTTCTTTCTTTTTCTGTATATGTGTATATTTTTAGTTATTTTCTTTGTGGTTACTGTGGGGATTATTTTAAGCTTATAACAGCCTAGTTTGAATAATACTGATGTAATTTTAGTAGTATAAGCATTCTTCCTATTTATCTCCGGCCTTCTCTCCTTATATTGTTATTGTCACAGACATTTATCTGTTTTATGCCCACCAACATAGACTTATGATTATTTTATGCATTAGAATATTAAACCATGTAGGAAAATAAACCATAACAAAAGTTAAGTAATACGACCTATTTAGTTCATGTTATTTTGTCCTATGGCTTTGAGTTACTGTTTCATGTCCTTTCATTTCAGCCTGGAGGACTCCCTTTAGCATATTTTGTAAAGCAGGTCTGCTGGTAATGAACTCTGTCAGCTTTTCTTTATCTGGAAATGTCTTAATTTCACCCTCAAGAATGAACGATAGTTTTGCTGGGTATTGAATTCTTGGTTGACATCTTTTTTCCTTTCAAACTTATTAAAACACCATCCCACTACCTTCTGGCTTCCATAGTTTGTGAAGAGCAATCAGTGATTTATCCTACATAGGCTCCTTGGTGCATGTGGATTTGTTTGTTGCTGCTTTCAACATTTTCATTGTTTTTTTTTTTCTTAAGATTTTATTTATTTATGAGAGACACACAGAGAGAGGCAGAGACACAGGCAGAGGGAGAGGCAGGCTTCCTGTGGGAAGCCCGATGCAGGACTCGATCCACATGTGATCCCCGGGATCACAACTTGAGCCAAAGGCAGACACTCAACCGCTGAGCCACCTGGGTGTCCCTCAACATTGTCTTTGGGCTTTAACAATTTGACTACAATATGTCTCAGTGTGGATCTCTTTTAGTTTATGAACTGTTTGGACTCATTGAGTTTCTTGGACAGGCATATTCATGTCATCTCAGGTTTTGGAAATTCTTAGCCATTATTTCTTCACATATCTTTTCTGCTCGTTTCTTTTCTTCTTGGAATCATAAAATGTATACATTGGCAGTTTTGATGGTGTTCCATAGGTTTCTTGGATCTATTCATTTTTCTTCATTCTTTTTTCCCTTACACTGCATAATTTCAATTGTCCTGTCTTCAGGTTCATTGATCCTTTCTTCTGCCACATCCGTTGAACTGCTCCAGTGAATTTTTTTCATTTCAATTATTGTACTTTTGGCTCCAGATTTTGTTTTGTTTTGTTTTTGCAAGTTCTGTCTCTTTATTAATATTCTCATTTTGTTTATGTATCACTTTCTTGCTTTCCTTTAGTTTTTTGCCCATGGCTTCCTTTATGTCATTCAACATATTTAAAACCATTACTTTAACATCTTTGACTAATAATTCCAGTGTATGGACTTCTTCAGGAATGGTTTCTGTCAATTTATTTTTTCCCTTTGAATAGGCCATACTTTCCAGTTTCTTAGCATATTTTTAATACTTTTAGTTGAGAACCAGGTGTTTTGAGTGTTATGTGTGGTGATTCTGGAATTCTAAGCCTTCCACTCCTCCGAGATTGCTGAATCTTGCTTGTTGATGGTGGAAGCCATCTTTGACTTTTTCAGTTTGTTTTCATAGTGTTTATTCTTCAACGTATTTGGTCCTTGAGGTCTCAGTTCCACTGTGTGGTCATCCAGCACTCAGAAGATTTCTTTAAGTGTCTGTCTCCCAAAAAGGGAAGAAACAAGTATCCCTTTAATCCCTCTACAAGTACTTGTTTATATATAAGCAAATGCTTTCCAGGGTGGTTGTACCCAATATTGTACCAGATATATAATGTCATCAGCACCTAATCATTGGAATACATTATCCTTCCATGTCAGGATGCAAAGTTGAGGAGAGCACAGTCTGACTTCCATACAGCCTCCCTGTACTGGATGTTGTAATTTTAACTTCTACTTGCTAATGAAATAGGCATGACTCTTGGCTGGTATTGCATTTGACTGATTACTCAGGAAAGTTGTATCTGTGTGTGTGTGTGTGTGTGTGTTTTAAATATTTTATTTAGGGGATCCCTGGGTGGTTCAGCGGTTTAGTGCCTGCCTTTGCCTGGGGCATGATCCTGGGGTCCTAGGATGGGGTCCCGCATCGGGCTTCCTGTGTGGAGCCTGCTTCTCCCTCTGCCTGTGTGTCTGCCTCTCTCTCTCTCTCCCTGTGTCTCTCATTAATAAAAAAATAAAGATTTTATTTACTTATTCATGACAGAGACACAGGCAAAGGGAGAAGCAGGCTCCCCTTAGGGAGCCCAATGTGGGACTCGATCCCTGAATTCCAGGACATGCCCTGAGCCAAAGGCAGAGCTTAACTGCTGAGCCATCCAGGAGTCCTTGTGTTGGCTTTAATAAGAACCATCTCTTACATCCCCTGCCCTTTCACTGCTAATGGCTGATGCTTTCTTATTGGGTTGTTTAAGAACTCCTGCTCTGGGGGTCCCTTCCTCCTATCAGCATGGATGTCCCTTAAGCCAGTGGCACCCCAAGGGATTGTGGCATTGAGGGGAGCCCTAGAGCCATGGGTGGGAGGGCTAGTGGGGCAGGAGGTGTGGTGGGCCAGTGCGGTCTGAAGAAGGGTATTTACCGGAAATACATGGAAAAAAATACGCTAGTGGTTTTCATTGTGAAAAATCGGAAAGCAGATGCTTTGATAAGTTTTCTTGGCTGTTTGGTTTTGGCTGACAAGGGCTGGCACCATGAATTGGTGACACACTTTCACAGGGGCCAAATGTCAAGCTCATCTAAGGATGGGAGGGAGCACAGGCAAAGGGACTTCTTGGTTCTTGATGTTTCTGCCTGGCCACTGGGACAGTCAGGCCTGGGTATCTGGTGGGTTAACTGCCTGCAACAGAGGCAGACTGCAACTGCCTGCAACTGCCTGCCTGGGGGTCCCTTGCCTCTTCAGCTTACAGGGTCAGAAACCTGAGTTGTCAGCCTGCTGATGACAGAGGGCCTTTGGGAGCAGTCATCTCAGACCACAGGCTACTTGTTAATATCTCTGGGCAGTTACCAGTCAGGAGATGAACTGCTGGTGTCAGAGGATCAGACAGGGGTGGGCCCTGGCTTGTTAGGGGAGACTTGAGCCTGACCTCCACGGAAACTCAGTAACAGCTGACCCAGGGGTCATGGTAAGGCTGGGTAAGGTCTTGCTCACAGTGTGCGTGTGTGGTACCCAAGCCCTACATCTTTGCAGCTGGCCCTATACACACCCCTGGGGCCGAGGAACCCAGGCCACCCAAGCATCATATCTGAGCCAGAGAACTGGATCTGGGTCCTCCCACCTATCTTCAGTCTGGGCCAGTCTTCAGGCACCCCCTGGGGTTCGTGTCCTCAACGCTGTCCTCGGGTCCCTGCCGGAGGTGGCTGTGTGGCTTCTTATGACAGTTGCATGTGTTGCAGGCCTGTGGGCTGAGCTTCTTCAAGATCCCCTGGGGTTGGGGAGAATTTGTCTCCTAGTGGTGGGTGAGCAGTTCCCCTGGCCTGTTGCTCCGTGGTCCCCTGCCTCCACGACAGTTGCACCTGTTCAGAGTTATACTAACTTCCATCACAGGGACTACAGAAAGCTGGGTGCCAATGGTCGAGAAGGCTATTACCAGGGTGAAGGGATCCCAGGCATCATTTTGGTGCCTGATGCTACTTCCAAAAGATGCAGACCGCCCATACGTTCCAGCAGGTTATATGCTACCTCCTGGTCCTTGGAGAGATGAAGGACAAAAAAAATGTGTGGCCCAGGGAGAAGGGCACTGAAGCTCACCTTCCAGCCCCATGGACACCTGAGCCTGGACACTCACCAATAGGTCAATGGCAGCTGACGGGAAGAAAAGCCAGAATGATAAAGTACACTTCGCCTAAGAAGGCTGAAAAGCGAACCATACATTTTGCAGATTCCCCCCCAAATCCTGGGTGTGGTAGATCTAGCAATCCAGAGCGACTGAGGGTCACTTCTGCTGTCCTGTAGTACAGACAGTGTCTTTCCAAGCAAGTGTTTCTGTACATCGTACGTAACTCAGCGTCGTCTTGACCGAACTGTTTTTTATCCTAACTCTTCCATGGGATTAGGAATTGTGCCCTGGGTAGTGGTGTGCCCTGCGGGGCAGCTGCGGAGTCAGACACAGCCATAGACTCGGTCAGCACGGGGGAGGTGGTGGCCCCCCTCCGTGGGGTTCAGGAGTGAGTGTCCCACTTCCATGAGCTCTATTCCTTTGCAGTTTGGCCCCAGGGATTTCAGCTCCTCTGAATCGCACCATGAACTTGGCCTCGACAGCATCTCCTCAGAGGTTTTCGCCATCTCTGAAGTCACACCTGCTCCCTCAGCTCCAGCGAAGTGACATCTCGGTGAGCTCATCTACCTTAGTGAACCCAACTCCTGGTTTTGCTCAGTGGCTTTAGCTCCTCTGGTCCCAGCGGCTCTGCAGTACACATGTGATGCCAATTTCTTTCAGAAGGAGCCCATCTCCTCCCTGAAGCACACCTGCAACCCTCAGCTTCCAGAATTTCACCTGTGATATTGGCACCTGTCACCTGTATCAGAGAGAGGGAGGGGGAAACAAGCTTTTATCTGTGTCAGTGTTATTGCTGTGGACTGAGAGGTCAACATTCTAGTCCTTCATTTCTCCTGAGAAGCTGATGTTTTCAAGAGAGAGAGGAAAAAACTTAAAAATGACAAACCAGATTCATTGTAGTAAGTGAAACTGGATACTAGACTTTCTTGGAATCAGGAGGAAAAACACAAAAACCTCAAACATTGGAATGGAAAATTTAGATAATAAAAAAGCTATTTGAATTTGAGAATTTTAAGTTTTAAAAATATATACCAAAGAACTTTCTTTTGAGTAACACAATGTGTAAAGAGGCTCCCAGTTCGTGCAACAGCTGAGGTCTGGGCTCTGAGGTGCAGAGCCCCCCTCCCACCCACATGGGGTCCAGAGGCTCAAGACGTCCCATGATTTCTGGGGCACAAAGCCTTAAATCATAAGGGTGGGCTTTGAGGCAAAGAAGCATATTTGAGTTGAATTTTCACCAAAAGTTAGGACATCCCTTCTGATCTTGAATAAAGTTGAAACACCAGATGAAGTGTTTTCTAAGTTTACATCATTTCTCACTAATTAATCTTTAGACTTTTTATAAAACATGTGATTCTAACAGTTAGGGTTCCTAGCCATATTACATGATGAGACTTAATGACATTTTTAAAAAATATATCATCCAAAAAAAATATATCATCCAGATAACACTTTAGTGGCCTAACAACACTGCAAATAATCCAAGTCTAATTTTAGGTGCAATAATTAGAATAATTATCGTTTTTGGGAAAGGCATCGGATGTTCTAAGAAAAAAACTTTATTTAGAAGGTAAGAAAGTTTTGTGACAGTATTTCCTTGGGTCCTAACTTCTTTCGGTTTCTTCCAACAGACAGTGTAATGTTAGAGGGTGAGTGCACGTGGCGCCCTGTACCAAAAGTCGCCACGGAGGTGAGTGCTGTGCAGCAGAACCGGAGGGTGGGGGGAAACAAAGCCTGGCCCCTGAGGCTCCCCCGGGCCACAGCTCCTCGTGCCGGGGCTCCGGGCCGCGGGGCTCCCGGGCGTCACAGCTTCCGGTGCACTTTCTGGTGCTGGATCAGGTGCCCGTGCTGGTTGAAGGCGCGGCCGCACTCGCCGCACTCGTAGGGCCGCTCGCCCGTGTGGATGCGCTGGTGCTGGATGAGCACCGAGTACTGGCTGAAGGCCTTGCCGCAGCGGCTGCACTCGTACGGCCGCTCCCCGGTGTGCGTCCGCAGGTGCACGATCAGCGTGGCCTTGAGGCTGAAGGCCTTGCCGCACTGCGCGCAGCGGAAGGGCCGCTCGCCGGTGTGGATGCGCTCGTGCTGCACCAGCGACCTGCGGGCGCTGAAGGCGTGGCCGCACTCGCCGCACACGTACGGCTTCTCGCCGGTGTGCACGCGCTGGTGCTGCGTCAGGTGCGAGTGCTGCACGAAGGCCTTACCGCACGCGTAGCAGCCGTACGGCTTCTCCTCCGTGTGGATGCGCTCGTGGTTCATGAGGGTCGAGCGGTGGCTGAAGGCCTTGCCGCACTCGCCGCACTCGTACGGCTTCTCGCCCGTGTGCACGTTGTGGTGCTGGATGAGCACCGAGCGGTCGCTGAAGGCGCGGCCGCACTCGCTGCAGGTGTACGGCTTCTCGCCCGTGTGCACGCGCTGGTGCTGCAGCAGCGTCCTCTTGACGCTGAAGGCGCGGCCGCACTGCGCGCACTCGTGCGGCTTCTCGCCGGTGTGCACGCGCTGGTGGCTGCGCAGCACGGTGCTGTGGTTGAAGGCCTTCCCGCACAGCGCGCACACGTACGGCCGCTCGCCCGTGTGGATGCGCTGGTGCTGGATGAGGTGCGAGAGCTGCGTGAAGGCCTTGCGGCACTCCAGGCACTCGTGCGGCTTCTCGCCCGTGTGGATCTTGTGGTGCTGCGCCAGGTCTGAGCTCACGCGGAAGGCCTTCCCGCACTCGTTGCACTCGTACGGCTTTTCTCCCGTGTGGATGCGCCGGTGTTTGCTGAGCACGGAGCTCTGGCTGAAGGCCTTCCCGCACACGCCGCACACGTACGGCTTCTCGCCCGTGTGGGTCCTCTGGTGCTGCAGGAGGTGCGAGCTGCGGCCGAAGCATTTGCCGCACTCGGTGCACTTGTAGGGCCGCTCGGCACCAGCAGTGGCTGGGGCCCGAGGCGGCGGAGCGTCGCGCGGGCGCCCCCGGTCACGCCATCCCGGGCGGCCTTCCCCCGGGACCACGGAGCCGTCCTCGGAGACACGTGGCTTCACGCCCAAGTCCCTATCTTGGTTCTCTCCCTGGTTTTCACATTCTGAAACAGCAAACGCAGAGCACCACATTAGAGGTGAACCCAGAGAGAACGGCGGGGCACGCGGCACCTACGGGTGGCTTTGCTGGGCACAGGTGGCCCAGCGCTCGGGGCCAGGACGATCACGAGTGGGCGCAGCAACTAGCACAGCGGCCCCTGCGGCCTGGGCCCATCTCCCCGCAGTCCTCCTCTCTTGGGACTTTACTTAAGACAGAGAACGAGGGATCCCTGGGTGGCGCAGCGGTTTGGCGCCTGCCTTTGGCCCAGGGCGCGATCCTGGAGACCCGGGATCGAATCCCACGTCAGGCTCCCGGTGCATGGAGCCTGCTTCTCCCTCTGCCTGTGTCTCTGCCTCTCTCTCTCTCTGTATGACTATTGCAAATAAATAAAAAAAAAATTAAAAAAAAACACAGATTCCTCTTTAAAAAAAAAGAGAGAACGAGCAGCTGGAGGGACAGAGGGAAAGGGGGACGTGGACGTGAGCAGGGCTCCACCCCAGCCCCCCAAGCCCGAGCCGAGCCCAAGGCGGACGTAGCCGGCTGAGCCCCCCTGGGAGCCCCTCCCCGGCCCCCCTCCCTGGAGTCCCCCTAGCAGCACCGACTGCCGGGCTGCACCCCGCCCGCGGGAGCCTGGCTGGGCTGATCGCAAAGGCGGCGGGCGAGGCGTGGCGTGGAGCAGGTGGGACGGGAGCCCCGCGGGCGTGTCCGACCGCCACAGGGTGGAAGGGCGGCGCAGGCGCAGGGGCATCCTCGTGTGCGGCGCCGGAGGGGCAAGGGCCGCTTGGGTGTTCAGTCCCGCCCCCGACACCCAAGCCGCGCGCGCACCATCCGAGGCGGGCGCCCCGTGAACCTTGGCGACCGCGCCACCAGGAAAGCCAGGACCCATGGGGGGACCGCGGACGTCCCGAGGCCGGGCGGTGCTGGGGGCGCTGGCTCCGGGGCCCCCAGCGGGTGGAGGCAGGAGCCCCCGCCCGGTGCAGCTCTGCGGTTGGGGGGCCACCCCCGGCTCCAAGACCTCGGCCCAGAACAGTCTGAGGCCGAGAAACCTCGTGAGCAGAGCGGAGGCCGCCGGGCACTGGGGACAAGTGACACGCGGGCCGCTCAGCTTGCCGACCGCGTGCTGCTCTGCTCTGTTCAGAGGCGGGGCCCAGGATGGGGGCCTGTGGTCCCCCCCACCATGTTGCTGATAACAGCATCATCGAGATAGAAGCTTCAATCTTTAATCAGTTCCTAACTTGGTCCGGGGGCCTCCTGGAACCCCAATATGGACCCTTGAAAAACAAAAGATTCAGAAGCCAAGCGGTCCCTACACAAACCCCAGGGAGCTCCTAAAATGGACTTCTGATTGGTGTGCAGAGAAAGATCTGGGCCAAGGTGGTCAACGAATAAAATATGCCTGTTTAGATCTGTGTTGCCCTCAGCAGCTAGGGCATGGCTGCCCTGGACGGAGGAAGACCTGCCAAACGCCAACACCTCTTGCAGAAGCTGGTGGCAGCCAGAGGGTCATCTGAGAAGAGGCGGGAGTGAGATGCTGGGAGACTCTCCCAAATGAGGGGCCTCCCTTTTAGAGGCTGGAGTCCCACTCCAGGCTTGATGAACCAGCTCTCCACACCCACCCCAAGATTCGGCAGCACTCCGGACACACACGCCTCCATTCTGCAGGGCTCCCCAGACTCAGGCGGGTGGTGCTGCCTGCTGCCAGAGCTGGCCATCCAGGTGGCCCACCAGCACTTCCTTCCTCCTACAAGGAGCCACTATCCTGGTGGCTGGTGGGCCTTCGGGATCTACGTCTCTTTTTTGATTCCTTATCTTCCTCTTTCCACAAGAAAGATGGCTTGGACAAGCCCTATTCCTATTGTCAGGCTACCATGTGACACCTTATCATTTTTAAAAGTTTTTTTTTAAAGATTTACTGACTTGAGAAAGAGAAACAGAGGATGAGGGGCAGGTAATAGTCACAGGCAAACTCGGTGCTGAGTGTGGAGCCTAACACAGGGCTTGATCCCACAACCCAGGAGATTGTGACCTGAGCTGAAACCAAGAATCAGGCACTTAACTGACTGAGCCACCCAGGTGCCCGGTAACAGCTTACTGTTGTCAAGTAGCCACCCTCTCCCCCAGCACTGCCCACTCATCAGTGGCACTGGAGGGGCCCTCACCATGACCAATCTGACAGGTGGATACACCGACAACCCAGTTATAGTTCTCATGTCCCTTTAACTGTTAATATCACCATCATTATACATTATATAAAACAATATATATTATTATACTATTTATTAATTACACAATAACTGAATTCCCCCAGGAGGGATAAAGCTGTAAGACTATCCCTTCCACCTCAACAGTAAGAAAAAGATAATCTATAAAATCTTAACTTTCTTGAATCTATCAGAGCCGAGGTCACGACAGCCCCCAAATGCCCTGAAATCTAAGGAGACAGGTGCCTGCATGGAGAGACAACTGCACTGGTGTGCCCGTGATGGAAATGAGGTAAGAGGAAGATGAAAGACAGGTCACCACCCAAGCAATTCAAAGCACCTGGTTAAAACATTAATCATCTTTCAAAGAACCCCAGAGAGCCACAGACACAGGGGGCTCATGTCCATGGGCTCCCCATGGGGGCAGGTCCAGAGGAAGCCTTCTTTGGTGGCTCAGGCCTACAAGAGGGAAAAGCAAAAGCACCCACTGGAATCCTTCTCTACAGAACAAAAGCTGTAAGTCATCTGAGAGGGAAAGCAAACCTCTCATTCCAGGGCACAGGCGAAAATTACAATGGCCAGGAAGGGAAAGGAAAACTACCCTTTACTCCTGAGGGAGAGGCAGGAAATGATCGTGAGCCCAGAGTGAGATCTGCTTCAACTAGGGGAGGGGCTGTGACCCAGGGACACAACAACTGCCTACAACTGAGGATGAACCAGGACAGTGGAGCATTCTCTCATTTTCCTCTGCCCCAAAGGCCAGCAAGCATAGCATAACCAGCAACTGAGACTACTGCTAGGGTGGGGGCAAGAGCAAGGAAAAAACCCTCTTACAGGCACACCTGGAAACTGAGCCCAGCCCAGCTCCAGACTAGACCAGCTCAGGCTTCCACGCTGACAGCCCAGTAGCGTGGGCTACGTTTCCAGACAGTTACACTGTTTATCTCTATCTCTATAGCTGACATTCAACAAAAAACTATGAGCCACCCAAGAGAAAGACTGCATACACGTACATGTACACACACACACACACACACACACACACACACAGAGTGAAGTGACTAAATGATCAACAGAACTAGAACTAGGGAGGACCCATATGCTGGAACAACTGAATGACCAGATGGGGAGTTTCAGCAGAGAGATAGATACTGGAAGAAACAGTCCAATTAGAAATGCTAGATGTAAAAAACACAGTAACACAGGAATGCCCCACCCAGCTGAGAAAGACCAGTGAGCTTGAAAATAGGTCAAGAGAAATCATCCAAAAAGAAATACAAAGACAGAAATGTATGAAACATAAAGCCAGTATGGGTCATTATCAAATGGCCTAGCTTGCATGTAGTTGGAATCGCAAAAGAGGCAAGAAAAAGCATCTGAAAAGAAAATGGCTGAGATTTTTCTAAAAATGATAGAAGACATCAAAACAAAGATCCAAGATATTAGAATCACAAACGTGTTTTTAAAATACCACCTAGATACATCATAGTCCAACTGCTAAAAGCCAAAGAGAAAATCTTAGAGGCAGTTAGACAAAAACCACCTATGACACAGAGGAATGAATGTAACAAGTACAGCAGATTCATCATCAGAAACAAGTCAAAGGACAATGGACTGACACCCGGAAAGTGACAAAAAGAAAAAAACTTGTCAATTCACAAACACCAATGGAGAAGACACCCAACAACCAAATCCAAGCTAATGTTAAAGGGAATTCTTCAGGCTGCAGAAATATACCAGACAGAAAAGTTGGATTATATAAGGAAATAAAGGCTTTTGGAAATGGTTAAAATGAAGATATATATACAGGACTATGTAAAGAAGGTTTTCTAAATCACTGTAAAGGAGAACCGTCCAAAGCAAAAATAGTTATGTGCTGGGGAGCTTGGCTGACTCAGCCAGAGGACTGTGTGACTCTTGGTCTTGAGGTGTTGAGTTCAAGCCCCGTGTTGGGTGTAGAGATCACTTAAAACTTTAAAAAAAGGTATGGAGTGCGGGTTTATAACATACATACGGGTAGAACTTCGGTAGATCACAGGACCTGGGACAGAGTAACAGGACTGTTGTGATGAACCAATTGTGTCCCTTCCTCCCAACTTCACATGCTGAAACCCTAACCCGTGTGATGTCTGGGGGTGGGGCCTCTGGGAGGTGATTAGAGTCAGGTCGCCAGGGAGGAGACCCCAGGACTGGAGTAGTGCCTAGTAGGAGGAGACACCAGCAAGCTTACCCTCCCCACCCCCCCCATGCGCTCACAGGCAGAGGCCGCCGAGCATCGGAAGGTGCCAGTGCCAGGAGGCCCTCACCGGATACCCCGCTGCACGGGTCTGGGGCTTCTGGCCTCCAGGGCGTGAGAACGAAGCTGATTATGTCCAAGTCACTCTGTCAGCGGCCTTTTGTCACGCAGCCCGAGCAACGATAGAGAAGCAGGCCGCCCTAACAGTCTCACGCCACATGTGAATCAGTGTTCGCACTGCCCGAGGCTGCGACGTCAGAGCTGCGTATCCTAAAGCCCGGAGGGGCCCCTAAACAGCTGCGCTTTGTTCCCTTTTCTCTTTCTCCTCTTAAATCGTTACTTTTCCTAATTCTATTTTATCTCCTTTGTTGGCTTCACAGCTAGAACAGTTTTGATTATGATGTAGTTTAGTTTAACTTTGTCGAGGGTTCGTTGAGTTTCTTAGATCTGGGAATTCATACTTTTCATCAAATTTGGAAAAATTTCAACTAATGTCTTCAAATATTTTTTCTGACCTGCTTTGTTGGCCTCAGTGACATGTATTAGGCCACTTCAGATTGTCCCCCAGCTCATGGATGTGCTGTACTCTTTTTCCCTTGCTTCCTTTTCAGTAGTTCCTAGGACTTTATTTTCACAAATCTTTTCTTACGCGAGGTCTAATCTGCCACTAATTTACCAAGTGAACACTTTGTCTCAGACATTGTTGTCTCCATCCCTAGAGATCAGATCGGAGTCTTTCACGGATCTTCCATGCTTCTACTTAATATGCTCAATATTCTGTCTAGTCCTTCAACATATGGAATAAATTTATTTTATTTTAACATCCTTGTCTTTCAATCCTATCACTGATGTCATTTCTGGTTAGTTTAACAGGACTGTTTTTTCTAATTATGATCGTATTTTCTTACTTTTTTGTATGTCTGGTAACATTTTAATTGAAGCCAAATATTATTAATTTTACCTTGGTTGGTGTTGGGATATTTTTTATTTCTAGAAATATATATATATATTTAAAGATTTTATTTATTCATGAGAGAGAGAGAGAGAGAGAGAGAGAGAGAGAGGCAGAGACACAGGCAGAGGGAGAAGCAGGCTCCATGCAGGGAGCCTAAAGTGGGACTTGATCCCAGGTCTCCAGGATCACACCCCGGGCCGAAGGTGGCACCAAACCGCTGAGACACCTGGGCTGCCCCTAGAAATATTCTTGAATGTGGGGTGCCTGGGTGATGCAGTTGGTTGAGTGTCGGATTCTTGGTTTCAGCTCAGGTAATGATCTGATTGCGAGATCGAGCCCTGTGTCAGGCTCCAAACTCCGCGGAGTCAGCTTCAGTTTCCCTCTCCTCCCCACCCCCCATTCTTTGTCTCTCTCTCTTTCTCTCAAATAAATAAATATTTAAAATAAAAACAAAACAAATATTCTTGAGCTTAAGTATCTTCAGAGTATCACCTGTGGTTCTTGTCTTTCAACTTTGTCAGATCAGACCAGAGGGTGCTTAGGGCTCTTCCCCCAAGTCAGCTCCCTAACCTGAGAGTTACAGGTTTCCCACTCCTGCTGTTGGGAGCAGCACCCTTCCCAGCCTCGCATGAGCACTGGGCACTGTATCTGCCAGCCTAGAGTTCTGCAGGCCACATGACATAGTTGGATTCTCTGCTCAGCGTATCATAAGGCTGAAATAAAGTGTTCGTCTGTGTGTGGAGGCTTAGGCAATAAATGTACTTCAAAGCTCATTCTTAATAGTTGTCAAAATTTAGCTCTTTGTACAAGGCTGCAGGACTAAGGTGACTGGTTCCTTGCCACGCTCAGCTCTGAAAGGCTACCTGCATTCCTTGCCATGTGGCCCCTCCACCTTCAAGGCAGCAGTGGTGTATCCAATCCTTCCCAGTCTTTGACTCTGACTTGTTGCTGACCTCCAGACCCATGTTTAAAGGGTCCTCCATTCCTTAAAAGCAAAAGCTTAACATAACAGTCACAGGAGTAAAACCCATATTCACAGTCCTGGGGATTATGCAAGTGGGATGAATACGTCCTGGGGAAGGGGTCTGGGAGGCTGTATGTGCCAAGAAAGAGAGCTCTGGTCTCTTTTCCTTTTTTTTTTTTTAAGATTTTATTTATTTATTCATGAGAGATGCAGAGAGAGAGAGGCAGAGACACAGGCAGAGGGAGAAGCAGGCTCCATGCAAGGAGCCTGATGTGGGACTTGATCTCAGGTCTCCCGGATCACGCCTGAAGATGGCGCTAAACCGCTGAGTCACCCAGGCTGCCCTTCCTCTTCTTATAGACACTAACCCTAGCAAATCCAGGCCCTACCCTTATGACCTCATTTAACCTTAATAACTTCCATAAAAAGTCCATCACCAATATATTCACACTGGGGTTTAGGGCTTTGACAGATGAATTGGGGGGGGGGTGCGCACAAACATTCATTCCACTATGAAAACCATCTTAAGTCCTGGCTACCACAGCTGCTACTCCTTCCAAAGAGGGGGCTCCCTCCTGGCATTGGACGGGGTTTCCTTGCTAGTGCTAATACTCAAGAGGGTCTCCTGCAGATCTCCAGAGTTCTCTTTGTCAAATGGACTCTTCTGTGGGACTTCTAGCCTCCCTGGCTTCTCTGGACTCCTGACTATGTGTCCCTAAGTCTGGGAGACCACTGGGCTCTGCCCTCCCTGCATTGTGATCTTCTTCAAGCTGTAAACTGGGGCAATTATAGGGATCAGCCCTTTGTTTCCTGTCTCTCAGGGATTAATTTCCTTCATTGATTTCATGACAATGATTCCCAACACCTGGAGAGCTGTGGTTTCATGTATCTCGTCATTTTTCAGATGTTTCAAGTGAGAGGGTAACTCCCATCTCTGTTTACTCCATTTATTATTCTTAATTTTTTTTATTATTATTAATTTTTTAAAAGATCTTTATTTATTCATGAGAGACACAGAGACAAACAGAAGCAGAAATACAGGCCAACAGAGAAGCAGGCTCCATGCAGGGAGCCCAATGCGGGACTGGATCCCGGGTCTCCAGGATCCCACCCCGGGCTGAAGGCAGCGCTAAACCACTGAGCAACCAGGGCTGCCCAGTGTTTTGTTTTTTTAAATAGCTTTATCTTAGAAATTTGTATCTCTAACCAGTAACTCAATTAGGCGTATTCCTGAGATTTTTATAATTTTATGGTGCCTGGTCTTCTTCAACTTGCTTTCCTCTGTCAACACTGTGTTCCAATTCATTATATTGTTCCACAGCGGTTATTAAACCATTTTTACTACAACTTGTTCTTTCCTATTTTTTTTTTAAGATTTATTTATTCATGAGAGACCCAGAAAGAGAGAGAGGCAGAGACATAGGCAGAAGGGGAAGCAAGCTCCCTGCAGGAAACCCAATGCGGGACTCAAACCAGGCCCTCGGGATCACGCCCTGAGCCAAAGTTAGATTCTCAACCGCTGAGCCACCCAGGCGTCCCATTTCCTTTCTATTAAAACACCACAGTTTACTCATCTATCCTACTGCTGATGGACATTTAGGTTATTGTTATTTTTTTCTATCACAAAGCATGCTTCTGTAAGATTCTTGCATATGGGGATCCCTGGGTGGCACAGCGGTTTAGTGCCTGCCTTTGGCCCAGGGCGCGATCCTGGAGACCCGGGATCGAATCCCACGTCAGGCTTCCGGTGCATGGAGCCTGCTTCTCCCTCTGCCTGTGTCTCTGCCTCTCTCTCTCTGTGACTATCATAAAAAAAAAAAAATTAAAAAGATTCTTGCATATGCTTCTTGGTTTTTATACACAAACATTCTTACTGTACACATGAGTAGGATATTTGATGTAGGGCAGCCCAGGTGGCTCAGCGGTTTAGCGCCTGCCTTCCGCCTAGGGCATGATCCTGCAGTTCGGGGATCGAGTCCCGCATCGGTTTCCCTGCATGGAGCCTGCTTCTCCCTCTGCCTGTGTCTCTGCCTCTCTGTCTCTCATTAATAGATAAATAAAATCTTAAAAAAAAAAAAAAAGGTATTTGATGTAGGGACTTGTATTTTCAGCTTCATTAGATAATGCCAAACTGATTTCCAAGGTAGTGTGCACATTTACCCCCTCATTAGCTGTCTCATAGCCTCACCCAAACTTCAATCAGATCTTTCCATTTTTTTCATCCTGAAGGTTTAACAGGGTAAACAATAATAGTTTTGACTTACATTTTACTGATGAATAATAAGGCTGAGCATGTTCTCACATTTATTGACCCTTTGGTTTTCCTCCTCTAATCCAAAGCTGTTCAAGTTTTGTGTCTACTTTTCTTATTCTCTTTAGAGCAATTAAGTGTATACTTAATAATTCAAGAATGGTAAAAGTGGGATGCCTGAGTGGCTCATTGATTGAGCGTCTGCCTTCAGCTCAGGGTTCAGGGTGTGATCCTGGGCCTGAGGATCGAGTCCCACATCGGGCTCCCTGCGGGGAGCCTGCTTCTCCCTCTTCCTGTGTCTCTGCCTCTCTGTTTCTCATTAATAAATTAAGAAAAAAAAAAAAAACTTAAAAAAAAAAAGAATGGTAACACTAATAAGTTCTTCGTTTTAAAAATCTGGCTTTACTATCATCTATTTAATAAAATTTTTAGTGGACCTGGGTGGCTCAGTGATTGAGGCTCCCCACAGGGAGCCTGCCTATCCCTCTGTGTCTCTCATGAATAATTAAATCTTTAAAATAAATAAATAAAATTAAAATTTTTATACAACTTATTTTTAAAAGGACATACTATGTGTTTTTTAAACTGGGAAACACGGTTTTGGTTTTTGGGTTTTTTTTTTTTTTTTTTGACTTATAAAGAGCTTCATTACCATAGGCCAAAGCTTACTAGCCAAAAATATATTACCTATTTGCAATGAAAAGTATCATTTCTACTGTTCGAAGTTTCCTGAATAGGTGGTTTCTTGTCTGATGCCAAAGTAACAAGATGAGCAAGATGACTTTAATAAGTTAAAAAACAACTGTATAGGAAATTACTCACTCAACCATCCAGGTCATAAAATCAACGCATGACCAACCTTTCATGTCCACAGACTCAAGCTGCTGTCAGGGACAGTGCCAGGCCCCCTGGGCCCACGTGGTGCAGAAGCTGGCCTAAGCAGAGCACCCACTTTCAGAATGATGGCTTAAGTTGTTTCAAGTATAGACTGGGGAAAAATGTTTTACATGTGACAAGACAAAGGGAAAAAAACAATTGCACTGAAAGAAAATTTTAATTTAGAAAACCCCTGCCCACAGTTTCGTGGAGATTGTGTCATATAATGAGAACATATTCTGCATCGGGGCGCCCCGGTCTCTTTACATTCTGGTGAGTAACGAGTAGTAACACCTTCAGGGATTTAGGGATTAAAAAGATGAGACATACACCTACCCCACGGACAGGGTGAGCTGTCTTGTTGCATACAAGCTGGCATGTGGTCGTGTCTGTAGTTGTCTGCAAAAAACAGAGAATTGAAGGGACAAGAAAACACTTCTCCAGAGGAGGAACTTCTTTCATTTGCTGTCACATGGGTAAGTGCAGCTCACGGAGTTAAGCCCGAAGGCTCCTCTGCCAGAAGAGGCCTGGGTGGAAGCCACTCCTGCTGTCACCTCTCAGTGCCCACAGCCGCCAGAACGGATTTAGCCCCAGTGAGGGAGGGCCAGCTCCTTTCACTTACCTGAATGGCCACTCCCCAGGCCCCCAGTCTCCTTAGTCCCCTGCCCATCCAGGACCCATGGCTCTTCTCCTCGTTCCAGCTGGCAGATCACACTGGGCTTTGATCCTGGAAGTCCTGCTCATGGGGAGGGAAGGCCTTTTGTCAGCATATATCTGGGAACACTCCCACCCTGCCTGAGTGACCTGCAGGCATGAGACAGACGGACTGACCTTCCTCTAGAGCTGAACACCTGGACGTTACCCAAAGCCCACAGTGCAGGGCCTCCACCCCTGGCCAAGCACACAGACACAGAAGAGGCCTGCTGAGGGGACATACCCAGTGACACCACGTTCCCATATGTCTCCATCATCACGTGTCGGTAGAGGCCGCGCTGAGCGGGGCCCAGGCGGTCCCATTCCTCCTGGGAGAGGAGCACAGCCACATCCTCAAAGGTTACCTTGGCCTGGAATGACAGGGGCTGCTGCAGGTTAGATTAAATCTCCACACTAGAGATGGGAGTGGGTACAGGCAATGTGGGGTGTGGGGAGTGGAGATGCCCTTGGTCAGGAGGTAGGGCAAACATGCAAGCAGCTTGGGGGTGGGTGCCAGGAAGGGGCCACAGAGTTCAGGAGATGCAGGGACACTCAGGCTACCACCTAGAGCCCTGGGCATGGGAGGGCTCTGAGGAAATGCAGGGGTGGTCCACAGGCCTTGGGGGCAGCTCACCTGGGGTCCTGCCGGTGGTGGCAGGAGCCTGGCCGCTGCCATCACCTGATCCCGAGATTTCTGAGGCAGATGGAAGTCAGAGGATCCTGTGGGGCTGAGGAAGAGGGAGCACATGAGGGGCCCAGCCTTGCCCTCACAGACCCTGACTTCTGGGAGTCCAGCCTCCCTGCCCCTACAGTTCAGGAACCATGGTCCCTGGACTCTGACCGTGGGCCCAGCAACATCCGGTATGAGATGCTTGGGGACACCAGTGTACCCTGAGGTTTCAGCCTCAAGGTTTCGCTTTCTACACTGTGAGGTCCTCGCAGTCAGCTAGGGAGCTACCAAGGACTCTAAGCCATCTGCTCAGGCCCACAGTCCATGTACAAGGGCTGGTGTTAGAGCATTCACACAGGTGCCAAGTGATCAACAGGTCGGGCATGGATGCCAGGCCAAGCTGCCTCCAGAGATAATCCCCAGGGAAGACAGACTGAGAATCGATGGTTTTGCTTAAGGTCCACACTCCTGTTGGGACCCCATCCCAGGCCTGCATGCCTCACTTAACCATGACTCCTGTAGGCCTACTGATGCCTCAGTCTCACCTGGTTGTACCCTGGTGCTCCAGTGAGGCTGGGGCCATCAGCCTGGTGGTGGCTCCACCAGGGATTAGCAATGGAACATCACACATGGTTGATTCTGGTAGATTAAGTCCAAAGTTACCCAGGGATTTGGTCTGAGCACCCTGGAGAGCCTGGGGGTGGACAGGTTCTGGGGACATATCAGGATAAGTTAAGCTGAGGTATGTGTCATGTTCAAATTACTGAAAGAAAGTGGGGGCGGGGGGGACCAGGAGCTCTCCTAATGGGGATACGGGGTTCACATCTTTTGGAATGTCAAAGGGAGTCTGTAACAGGGACACAGAAACCTAGCAGGCGATCACTCTAGGAAAAATGGTACAAGACCATCCCCTGGACAAACAGGATGCCTCACACTGTGGGCTGCCTAAAGGGAAGGCTTGGGGGCAGGAAGTCAGGAAGCACAACCCCATTTTCTTAGTACAACATCAGATGCATGTGTATGTCTGCATAGACAACTTTTGGGAATATACACACGGAACTCCTAACTGCAGCTGCCTTCTAAGGAACAGGAGAGTAGCCTGGGACAGAGAGAGGCCAGCCTCTCTGCTCTGTTAACCAAGAATGCCCATTTCCCCCAAATCTATGTGTTTCTGTGTCGATGCAATGCAACTCTAAATACGATTCCAATAAGAGTCTTACAGGAGTAAAACTACCTTAAAAACCATATGAACGAGATGCTGGAGAAAGAGAAGAATAAAATATGAAAGAATGGGGGACGGGGATCCTGTCTCACCAGGTCTCAACAATGAGGAAGTCATTGCCATCCGTCTGCCTCCTGCCCTCTTCGGTGGTATGTCTGACACCCCCACCCCCTCGAGCAACCCGAGACCTGCCATCTCTTATGGTCGGTCATCTTTCCCATGGCCTTGTCCAGCTGCCTCCCCATGAGCGGTCTCCACCAACCCCAAAGCAGCCCTGCCCATGGGTATGACCTCCATGTGGCCAGATCCTTGTCCACTGTTTGCAGTGGTGACAGTTGGTTACTTTGCCCTCCTACAACTCAGTCTCCACTCGGTCTCTGGGACATTGCTCCTTCAGCCAGGGCCTCCATCCACCCTCACCTGCATGAGAATTTGACCTTCATGTATAATCCAGCTCTGGTCCTCTGGGAACCTGGTGCAAGTAGGCAGTCACCTGCCCTATGGCCCCACTGTAACTGGGCCAGTATCCAACAATAAACACCCATAGGAACCCTATTTAGGGCCTTCCCAGTGGGGGTAATAGAAGCAGGTATGGCTGAACCTAGAAGACATTTGGCTTCTTCTTTTTTTTTTTTTAATGATATATTTTTTTTTAATTTATGATAGTCACACACACAGAGAGAGAGAGAGGCAGAGACACAGGCAGAGGGAGAAGCAGGCTCCATGCACGGGGAGCCCGACGTGGGATTCGATCCCGGGTCTCCAGGATCGCACCCTGGGCCAAAGGCAGGCGCCAAACTGCTGCGCCACCCAGGGATCCCTTCTTCTTTTTTTTTTAAAAAAAGATTGATTTGGGGAGACAGCGAGCGAGAGAGCACATGAGCGCACATGTGTGCAAGAGAGTGCATGAGCATGGGGAGGGGCAGAGGGTGACAATCTTCAAGCCGACTCCCTGCTGAGCGTGGAGCACAACACAGGGCTTGATTTCTCGGCCCTGAGATCATGACCTGAGCCAAAACCTAAGTCAGACAGATGCTCAACTGACTGAGCCACCCAGGAGCCCCTCCACCTTGCTCTCTCACACTCCACTCCTAATCCACCCCCCACGCACACCCAGAATCTGCCCCTGTGGCAGCGGGGTTGTACACCTGACCCCTGTGGGAACAGGCTTGTTCTTGGCTTCATCCCCTTCCTGGGCCTCCCTTTTGCTAGGGAGGCTCCTGCCCTTTGGCTGGTGCTTGGCCCCATTACCTCTCATTGAGGCCCTTCTGACCCCCCCAACCACGAGGGCTTCTGCCTCGCCCAGTCCTCATTCTCCCTTTGTGTCCCAGCAGAGCAGCCAACAGCCCAATGCTTGCTGAGTAAGTGAATGAAATTAAAGAGCTAGGAGACCGCACTTCACACTTTCCAGGAAAGCCACTTGGCAGCGTGTAGATGAGTAAGACATGCCATTAGACAGTGGGCACTCCCCTGGAATGGACATAGGCTCAAGGTTGGTGCCACTGCCAACCCAAAGTCCTCCCACACAAAGGTCATGCACACCCCGAGAGAAAAGATTTAGGCTGTGGGAGCCAGCTGATGAGTAAATGAAACCATGGAATGCAGAGAGAATGTCCATGAGGTCCTCTTTCAGAAACAATGACTCCAAGGCAAAGAAGTGTGTGCACGTGCTTTGTCCCCACCTATAAAACAGGGCGCTCACACCCCTCCTCTGTGGGCCTCAAGAGGATGGCAAGATTCAGGCTCAGATGCTGCTGGGCTAAGTATGATCTCATTCGATTAAAGTAACTCAAAGAACCAGGCTGTCAATGTGAGTGAGGCATGGAGGTGGGTGGAGAGGGCAAAGAGGAAGATTCCTGGGAGCGGGTGGGGGGAAGGGGAGAGTCCCAGAAAAACACTGAAACAAAGGCTACTTCCAGCCTCTGGAACAGTGAAAAATGTCTGCTGTTTTATAGGCTACCTACTTCGTCTACAGTATTTTACCACAGCAGCCCAAAGGAACCAAAATATCTGTATTCTGATAAAAAAATGAACAAAAGAAATGCAAAAAGTGGTACTGTCTGCATACAAAGACGGGTGAAACACTGTGACCCACAAACTTGACAAATGTCGGGCAGGTAAAGAGAGCCAACCAAGGCACCAAAACTGGCTTTGAACCAGCCACCCTCTCCTCCACTCTTACTCCCACGATCCTGATCCCCAATTCCAGGTTTGCTATGGGGAAAAACACAGAAGTTTTTGTTTGAAATAAGGGGGAGGAGGGGCAGCGACAGAGGGGGAGAGAATCTTAAGCAGGCTCCACACTCAGCACAGAGCCCAACGTGAGGCTCGATCTCACCACCCTGAGATCATGACCTGAGCTGAAATCATGAGCCAGACGCTTAACTGACTGAGCCCCACAGGTGTCCCAACATAGGAATTTAGACAGAAAGGAAGAATAGGTGTGCACAACAAATCCTGTTCAGATGGCCCCAGAGCCAGAGTCCCCATCACTGAGTATGACAACAAACTGTGAGGAAGGCCAGGCCACCCCAACACAGGGGCAAGCACAAACAGTACCTGCCCTGGGGGTGCCTGTACTGGACCCCGCCTGCCCGCCGCCCAGCCATCTATCTGTCCGTCCGTCAGTCTTCAGATGCAGGAATTTCATATTCGGAAATCTCCTCAGGGAATAACCCAAACAAAACCAGAACAGATCAATGTTCTCAGCAGCAGTGGATACTTAATGGGAAGGAAGCCACACCGCAGTGAGACGTTCTGTGTGCCGAGCAGGGTCTGGCTCCTGTGATGCCTGAGCAGCCAGCAACACAGACAGGAACTGAAGAAGGGACTGCGGAGGCACCAAAAGCTTAGAATTTAATGTTTATTATTATTATTATTTTGTTTTTAAGCTGTTTTAGGAACTTATTGCCCTTGTTGAATTCCTCATTGGCTTGATGTAAAAGAAGCATGTCTGTCCTCCAGAGATCTCTCCCACAGTAACAGGCTAGGACAGGGACACTCCAAATCCCTGGTTTGGGGTGGGCTGCTCCCAGGATCTTCCGCCCTGTCCTCACCATCCGCGTCTATGGGTTTTCTTGCTGGAATGCCTTGCCCTCCATGGTGGAGGCATCTTCGGAAGAGGCACCTCCAAACCATTTGTGAACACAAAGCACAACCCTGCAATGCAATCTTCCATAGTGATTGGTCACGTATCCAAATCAATAGCTTTCCTACACACCAGCAACACCTAGTCAGAAAATATACAGGGAAAAAGATTCTACTCACAAATAGTACAAGAAACAAGCTTAAAATAAACTTTAGAAATGAGATGTAAATTCTGCTCACTGTATCCATAAAACCAAAGTGCCTAGAGCCGAGTGGGGCTGGATGAAAGGGGGTGACCCAGGAATGGGGCAAAGCAGGGCCAAGTCTTGTATAAACAAACGGAGAATGGATGAGGTAATTCAAATAGCTGAAGAAAGATGATTCAGTAAATGGGGCTAGGACCAGTTAAATGCTTTAGGAAAAGTAAAATTAGGCCTTTACACCAAGTTCAACGGATCTCCCAGAAAGTAGAGGAAGGCAAAGAAAAGAAAAAAAGGCCAGAAAATAATTAGATCATTTCATATCAAATATTACAAATCTAATGAATTCACTGGGCTAACCAATAAGAGTTGGCATTTTAAATTACATTTTATAAAAGGAACTCAACTACGAATACAGAGGTTTTTATTATTCCAGGTGGGAAGGGCCTTTCTAAGCAAAATGCCAAAAGAGAAAGATAGAGGCAGAAACTTCCAGATCTGCTGCATGAAAATTCAGACCTTATGCACATCAAAGTCACCAAATTCCAGAATGGGCCCAAAGTCATGTAGGAATTTAATGCATGACGAAGGTGGTTTTCCAATCACTGGAAAGATGAATTATTCAATAGATAGTGTTAGAAACAGCAGACAGAAAAAAAAATGAAGCCGGATTCCCCTCACCCCACACCAAAATAAATTCCAGATGGAGCCAACATTGCACAAGTACCAGAGAGAAACAAGAGTTTATTTTAAAAATAAATCTTGGCACAGAGAAAGCCCTTTTAAAACATAACAAAGCTCAAAAGCTTTAGAAGTAAATATTTTACCATTAAAAACTTGAAATCTCTTCAAAAAACCCCAAACCAGAACAAAACACCATAACTGGAGTCAAATGTCAATTTGTGAAGAATATTTTCAACATATACGAAAAAGAGCATGAACTGGCAGATCAGAGGAAATACAAAGGCAAAAAAAAAAAAAAAAAAAAAAAAAAAAAGGAAACACAAAGGCACCCGAAGAGTTTCCACCTCAGCGACCACGGGGAACGGAAACTAAAGCGTCCGAGCGACCCGAGCGCGGGGACGGCGGTCTCCTCAGGGCCCCAACGTCTCTGCCCGCCACCGCCACTGCCCCGCGCACCACCCCGCGGAACGCGCCGCCACCACGACACGTCTGTCAAGTGCAGGTGACCCGGCCCGGCCCCCGCCGCCCCCAGCATCCCTTTCAGGCGAGTGACAGAAAGGGCGCGCGCGGAGCCCGGGGAGGGTGCACCGTGGCCCAGCCAGCGCCTGCCCCGCTCCCCGCAGGGTCGTCCCGACGCCCCCACTGCCCGTATTTTTCTCACGTGTGTACATGGTAAGAAATGCATTTCGTTTTCTATTAAAATGTGAAAAAGCAGACAATGAGCCGGGGAACATCTGCGGGCCGCGTCGGAGGTCGCCGTCTCGAGAGCCGGGAAGGGCCTCACTAGGGGGCGGGGGCCGGCGGCACGCGGAGCGCCCGGGGCCACGGCGAAACCGGGTAGCGGCTTCGGTCTCCGGGCCGCCGCCGCTCGGCCGCGCTCTGCGCTCGCGGGGCCCCCAGGGCCGGCCGGGGTGCGGGGGGCGCGGACCGCCGTCCCCGGGGCCCCCACGCGCCCCGCCTCTCGGCCCAGGCCCCACCGCCTCCGGCCAGGCCCGCCGGCCGCGGGGGCGCCGGGGAGGGAACCGGGGCGGGACCGGGCTGCGGCGGGCGGTGGGGCCCGCGGGGACGCCCCTCCGAGGGCAGGGCCACCCGGCTCCCGGCTCCGTGCGGCAGGGGCCCGGCCGGCCAGCGGCCGCTACTCCGCCGACTCACCTTCCCCGCCGCAGCCGCACGCGCGAAGGGACGGCCGCCCGCAGCGCACCCAGACAAAGGGGGCGCCCCGCCTCGTCTGCACGCCCGCCAATCCCGGGGCGCCCCGCCTCCTCAGGCCCCGCCCACAGCCCCGGGCCTCCGGGCCGCCGGGGCAACCTCTCCCCGCGCGGCCGGTCGCCGCGCCCGCCCCGCCGGCGCCATTTCCCTGACTGAGGCTCCGCGGCGCGCTCGGGGCCACCGAGAACCGAGGCCTCCGGCGCGCCTAGAGGGGCCACGCCGCGCCCCTGCCGCGCCCCTGCCGCGCCCCCACCGCACTTCCGGCGGCCGGGCGGAAGCTGCCGGGCGGCCGCCGAGAGCCGTGCCCCCGCGTCAGGCCTCCGGAGCTTGTGAAGCCGGGACGGCGGGGCTCACGGCCTGGGGGGAGCGCAGCAGCCCGGAGGGGAGGGTGGACGGGGGCGCTTGGCTTTCGGGCCTCTTCCGCCGGGCGAGCCCCGGGCGGGGCGGCGCGCTGCTGAC